CAGTTGTATCTCCTAATAATCACAATGCTGTTTACTTGGACACACACACTTGTGTTTAAAAGCAACTTCATGAGTGTGAACAGAGTGAATAAATATTGAAAGGCAAAAAAAATTCAGCATGCCTTTTGATCATGACAGACTAGCCTTGAAGGGGAAAGAATATGAGGATTTCTGGTATTTGTTTATTTCTATCAATTTTGGATATTGCATAACACTTTTTTTTTCTTTTCTGCTCTTGGATAAAAATGACCCCCTCCTTCATTTTCTTTTTTTCTTTTTTTGTCTTTTTCTTTTTTATCGGTACTGGGGATCGAACTCACGACCACACATTGAGGTGCTTATGCCGCTGAGCTAAACCTCCAGCCCCGACCCTCCTTCATTTTCTAAGGAACATCTGCTTTTCTTCCAAGTAGTTTTTGGGGAACCAGAGTACAATAAAGTTACAGAATTGAGACAAACTTGCTTTTAAAACCTGTATATTTAAATAATGCAGGTAAAGAAGTTGGATATATTTTAATTTTTCTAATTAAGAAACTAAGCACTCTTCCCTTTTGTATAGTTAAATACTTTGCCCAAGGGGGTCATTTGGAAGATTATGCCTCAAAATTTAGTAATTGAGGGGGGGGGATCACTTAAGGCCAAGTGTAGATAATAACACAGTTGCACTCTATAGTGTTGCATAGATTAAAAGGAAAGTTAAATATATGAACAAACTAAAATTCCTTCAGTAGCAGTTTTAAAGTGCTATTCCTGTTCTGCAGTTCAGTAGTGAAGTTGGAGAAAAGAGGTAAAGTTTGGAGAAAGGAAGACCCTGCTAAGAAAAATAATAGAACTCACCCCGATATACTTTAGCACTTTTCTTGATTAGATATAGTGCTGTTGTTACTACACTTAACATTTTATATTGTACATAGAGTATGAGATGCAAACTGTAGAAATGTCATTAATTCTGCAGAGATGATGGATAGTTCTATCATGTCTTTCCCTGTCACCGCTTTTGACCTCTACTGTTTTAAGGCTCTATCCCAGCAAATAATTATGTACTTTGTTAATTGGATCCTAGGAAACAGTCTTAAAGACTTAAAGGCTTGCTTATAAATGAATTACAGTTAAGTTTCTGTCTCAGTATATCCAGGCAGTATGCACTGGGCCAGGATTAGAAAATACAAGTGTGCCTCGCGGCTTTGGACTAAGTCATACCAGAGCCCCAACTCCCACAATGCCCCTTGCCATTTGTAAAATGTAACACTATTAGTGGTGTGTTGTCTAACTTAATATTAATCTTTAAAACTATTATTAGGCTCTACATAAATTTTAGCTTGCCTTTTTTTTCTGAGCTCTATTGTAGCACAAATGGATGAGTTATGTATTTCTTTCTCTACAGTGGACCTCTTGCTCTGGGAAATGAAGCTAGTCTTTTCAGATTGCTGGGTAGTTTGGAAACATTGGGCCATGCTAGAATTGATTTGAATGTAAATATACAAAGTGCTCAAACTTTTCAGGGTCTCAATTGCTGACCATAATGCCGCCTTTGGAAGGAGAAAATGAAAGTGAAAAGATGGTGCTTTCCATATACTTCTCAGGCCAGTTTTTGACCTATGGCTTAGATTTCTTAGTGATTGGGGATCTATATTTCTCCAATAAGGTATAATAAAAGAGGAGAAAGAGAGATGAGAAGTAGTAGTTATTAAAATATCTTTTGCTAATCTTAAATTATGTGATACTCTGATTCTCCTTTTCTTACCTCTGTTGAACAACTAGGAGGAAATACCTGTATTGCAAATGAAGACAGAATTGGAACAATAACATTTCATTCCCTACCTTATGGAAGTGTGACACTGTAGTCCACATAGCAGTCAAGACAGTGAAATTCTAATATTTCATTTATCAAAGTTGTCACTTTTGAAAACTTAATGGATATTTATGTACTTTTTTGTACTAAATATTTGAAGCATCCCTAATTGAAAATTCAAGATCTGGAGTTCTTTAAAATCAGACCTTTTTTCTGTGTTGACACAATGCTCCAGAAGGTACGGATTTTACAATTTTGGTTTAAGGATATTCAGTCAGTAAGTCTGTACAGATACTCCAAAATGTATGTAAAAGCTCCAAAATCTGAAGCATTTCTAGTTTTAAGCTTTTGGATAAAAGATATTCGACCTAGCTGGGTATGTGGCACATGCCTGTAACCCCCCCAGTGCTAGAGGTGGTGACTCAGGAGGATCAGTGAAAGTTTGAGGCCAGCCTGAGCTACACAGAGACCTTGTTGAAGAAACCTAAAATAAAAAAAAAAGAAGCACTCAATGTGTATATATTTTACACTTGGAGAGTATTTCTGTTTGGGCTATTCCCATTTCAGGTGCTCTGGATTTCCCCTAAGGCTCATGGTATCATTTTGGACCTTGTAGCTACAGGGGAAGGAACCTGACTCTGTTCTATAAAGAGTGCTTGACCAAAGGTTTTTCGTTTGTTTGTTTGTTTGTTTTGTATCAGGAATTGAACTTAGGATCTTGTGCTCACCAGGCAGGTACTATGCTGCTGAGCTACAATCTGGCTCATGGCCCTAAGTTTTGAGAGATTGTCCTCTTTATATAAGTTCAGTAGTGTTTTGTCTTTGAGTTGTTGAAGAAAATAATTGTACCTGTTTATATTTACAGCTGGTAGCCTTTTCAAAATAGGGAAGAAGCACATATTAAATGAATGGGGAATACTTATTAGGAGGCATTTTTCCTCAGCTCTCATTTAAGCTTTTCAACTCTGGCTTACTTTTGCAAATTATAGTGCTTTTCTTTATACTCAGTAGTAGTAGAGTCCTAGTAAAATTGTCTGCATAAATGAGTTATATTCCATCATGCTCCCTGTGCTTGTCCAAAGCCAGTGCTTCTGTAGCCCATCTTTGGTAATTGTTGACTGAAATTCTCCTGTTCTGCGCTTTCTGACAAGTCTGTGTATTATATTGCATTGTGTAATATCTTGTAGATCTTTTCTTAGAAGGTTCAGAAGGTTAGACTTAATAGCATGCCAATTTTAAAATTGCGGGCTGTTCTAACAAATGAGGAAAATTATCTAGGAAGTGGAATACTTGGAAGAGAACAGCAGCTTCAAATCTGTGGTGACTAGGACAAACATTGTATATTCCAAGGAGTTGCCACATTTGCGAGGGTGGGGATGGAAGTGAGAGTGTTAAAGCAAGTGCTATTTAAATGAATTTCAGATAATGGATAAGAGGCTTTTAGTATATAATATTTGGAACATATTCATAGTTAAAAATGGCTCCTAAAATTCAAAATTTAACTAAATGTCCTGTGTTTTATTTGGCAATCATATTTCAGACTTGTTTACCCTCTGAAAAACTGAGAAGCCCAAGCAGTTTGTACTGATGTGACTCATATATGTTTATATTTTACTGAATTAGAAGTTTAACCTGAGATATTTTAATATATATTAATTCATTTATACAATGTTACAGTAACATTTTTATTGTGAAATAACTTACAAAGCAGTGAGAAAGGTGTCATTGTTTGATAATTTTGGAATTCTTTTACTATTTGATGGAGTTTTGTGTCTGTATTCAGTGACATGTGCTGTCACAAGGACATTTGCCATCTGAAAATCTCTACTGAATGTGAGGGAAAATGCAAATGGGAATAATCAAATGAGATCTTAGTATTCTCATGAAAAAAGTATTTGTTTTTGTTTTGTTTTATTTTTGAGACAGGATCTTGTTGTGAAGCCTAGGCTAGTCTCAACTTTGCAGCAATATCTGCGTTAGCCTCCGAAGTACCAGGATTCCAGACATGCACGATGCCTGGCCTATGAAAATAGTTTTGACTTTGGGGATTTTCTGAAAGGGTCCCACGGGCAGTTGTTCTAGGGTCTTCTAAGAATGCTTTGAGACCATTTGTCTAGAAGTAACAGACCCTGTAATTCTAGATTGTGTTTTATAAATCACAGATAATCAGAGGATAAGCATGTTTATTTTAGGTCTAATAGATCAAAGTATAAAATAGAAAATAAGCAACTTAAAATTATTATTCAGATTTAAGCAGTAATTCATTTTTCTGTATTTGAAATACTATTAGCTCTATACTTACCATATAAGAAAACAGCTATTGTAAATAAAGATATACAAAATATAGATAACTCTTTTTAACTTTTCACATAGATTCACTGTTAGCTCTCTGTGTAGACCAAAGTTTCATTTATGTTTTTAGAATCAAGACTAACATCTTATATTAAATAGGTCATATAATGTCTTTAAAATGCTGATAGGGTTGAATTGGGTCTAATTTTAGGATACAGGTGTATACATACATATCTGTTCATTGTTAGGCTTGGAGTACAACAACTGATCTGATGGTCATCTCATACAAAAATAGTGTAGAGATCAACTTTGGGCCAAATGTGAGAAGCCATGTGAAAAAAATGTTGCTCCCCTCAAATGGCAAACTTTTCAAGAAGGGCAACTGTATCAATTGCTGTACCTATATACAGGATTGGTAGTAATTGACTCTTGAATTTGGGATTACAAAATCCTGGCTACCTTAGAGAGAGTACCTTTCTCGTTTTGGTTTTGAACTGGAGAGAACAGAAGCAGAAGTTTTTGACTTGTTGAAATAACAATATCCATAAGAGATATCATATGACTTACCAGCTCTCCCTATTCTTTGTTCTCCCCCACCAAAATCATTTATTTGGGAGTTACTTATGCAACATGTAGTAGAGCTGAAAAATTATTCTTCAGAAGTCACTTCTTCAAGCATTTAACTTTATTATAGAACAAATTCGTTCCTAAATATAAAATTTGCGTTTTAGATAAAGTACCAGTTTTAGAGTTAGTTATACATTCTAGCTCTGCTGCTCCCCTAAACTCTGACTGCTCTGTTGCTACTTACTTGTATTTGGGAGTTCGTCTGTATTATCTGTGTAATTGGGCTAAAGTATGCGATGTAATCCATCTCTGACATTTGTCCTTTTTTTCTTTTGTGCTACTTTAATAGGTTCACCAAGTTGAAGAGTCTTAACCTTTCCAATAATCATCTAGGGGACTTCCCATTAGCAGTCTGCAGTATCCCAACCCTGACAGAACTCAACGTGTCCTGTAATGCCCTGCGAGCAGTGCCGGCTTCCGTGGGGGCTATGCACAAGTGCGTACTGTAAATCTCACTGTGGAATCCGTGTTGGGTTTTAGAATGTGAAATTAGTTAACTTGTTATGTTTTCCAGTAAGTCTTGACCATAGATCTAGAGATCAGACTCTGTGTAGAGTTTATTTGTTAGTGTTGAAACTCTTGAGACTCTTGTTAAAATGCAAATATCCTGTTTAGAACTAAAGATCCCTATGGGTGAATGGATCTAAACATAGGGGAAAGAATCTTTTTCTCATTTTCTGATTTGTTTTGAATTTTATAACCTGAAAATTAATTTTAAGAAATAATAAGGAAAGATTGTTTCCATTTACATCTTTCCAATTGATAAAATTGGGCATAATTTTCCATTTTTAATTAAAGGCTAAGATGTTTATCCCTGATTTTTTTCTAAACTACAATTTCCTCAGTCCCTGTCCTTATGCATTTTGCAGAGTAGGACATAATCTAGTAATATAATCCTTATTAACTTTATCTTTATTAGCTTGTTTTTGATAATGAAAATACAAAAATGTATACTTATCTTCATAATTCTTAATGTTTTCTTTAATAGTTTGCACACATTTTTGTTGGATGGAAACTTTCTCCAGTCCCTTCCTGCTGAGTTGGAGAACATGCACCAGCTCAGTTATCTTGGACTTTCATTCAATGAATTCACTGACATTCCAGAGGTGTTGGAAAAATTAACTGCTATGGATAAACTTTGTATGTCTGGAAACTGTATGGAGACCCTTAGGCTACAGGCTTTAAGAAGAATGCCTCACATTAAACATGTGGACCTAAGGTAACTATTTTTGAGAAATATATCCCACTTGAATGGTTGGCTCATATTTGTAGAGTTGGTTATAGCCCTTTTGGTAAGAGTAATCAAAGCGTACAGGCTGATTAGTTAAACTAGGATACATTTTCCTATTACTGCCTAGGAAGAAGAATAATGATTAATAGAGTCTGCTTCTGAGTGAAATTTGTCAAAATTTTTTCTTTTAACTTTGCTTTGCAAATTTGATGTGATTTTAATCTTTATAAATAGATTAGGACCAGTGAAACCGATTTTTAACCACGAATAAAAATGGTGTTGAGAGCAAGTGGAAGTTTTCTCTGACATTTGACATCATTGAGCATCTCCCTTTTCTGAAATTATTTTCCTTCCTGGGCTTCTTCAATGTAATGTATTCATTAAATTAAAATATATTTATTTTACTTCTTTAATTTCCTATCTCTCCATCCAAGACACTGTGATTTAGTTTACCATTCTTCATAAAAATTTAACTCTAGTAATTGCCTGTGACATGAAAATTTTGCTATGGCTTCTACTTTCAGACATTGCAAGGATAGAGAACTTGAATTTTGAATCCTGATCACACTAAACCCTTGCTGGACAATCTGCTACATGATAGATGCTTGGCATTCATCCTTTTCTATATAAAGTTTAATTTTATTTTTATCTGTTTAGAGAACCAGTAGATTAGGTGGAAGGTTTTTTTAATTCTGGTTTTTTATTTCTTTTTTTTTTTACTTTTTCCTTTTTATCAGTATTGGGGATCGAACTCACAACTGCCTGCTTGCAAGGCAGGCACTTATGCCGCTGAGCTAAATCCCCAGCCCCGGTGGAAGGTTTTTTTTAAAAATCTCTTTTAAGAAACAATAAAGTGTTCATTGTGGACTTTTCTTATAAAGCAGCATATAGGATTTAGTTCTTAGTGCTAACTTGTCCAGTTTGATACTTTTCCAACAAATTACCCCTCCCCCATTAGCCAGCTTGATGGCCATGTACTAGCCAAGTTAAATCTTCAGCAGTTTATGCTGAAGATTGCAATTTTTGAATTTTTGCATGAAATTCATGTTACCTAGAAAAATCCAAGAAACATGAATTTGAAAAGTAAGTTTATATTATGTTCTGTTGTTATAGGCATTCCAAAAATGAAACACTAGACATTGAAGGGTAAATCTCTGTGCCTTTGTGTTGATACCTGTAAATTATAGTTAATAACAAACTAATTCCTATAGTCATGAGAGAAGTTGGGTAGTACGCTGTTACCTGACTGAAGTCTCTCCCTCACTATAGAACCTACTCACCTGTGATTCTTAGCATCTTTACACTCTGTTTGTTAAAGATGAACCTGTTGTTACTTCAGTTCCCACATTCTTCTCTATTACTAACCCTTACTCATGCTTGACCAGTTGCTACAGCATAAAGTAGTAACAGGCTTTGCTCCCCTTCCTTTGCCTTTACTGTGTTTTGGACTCTCTGTATTCCAGTTCCATGAAGAACTACTTGACCTCGTTTTTCCTCAGACTAAAGGAATTAAACCTGTTTACCTAGGAAAGTCTTAGCAATTTCAAATCTAGAAATCTTAATTTGGGAAATACAAATGGTTGTAATTTGACTTTGAAAACTTACTGAAATGAGACAGGATCAGGAATGAAACACTTAGTCTTGTTAATGTTATTTGCCTATGAGTCATTTGGATTTTAAAAACTCTCATATTCCAGAATTTAGGCCCCTTTTTGTTCAGCCCCTGGTAGTATAACTTTGGTAGATTCCAAGAAGATGAGTTGCATTGACTTTGGGGAACAAGTATGAGATGAGTTCTAAGTTATCTAGTACATATCAGGAAGATACTATTTTTTTCTTGATCTGAAGAAAGTAAGATCAATGTAATGTGTCTAGAAGTAGCAATTCTTATTAAGAAACTTACAAATTCTCCAGATTTTAAGTTTTGAGTCTTTTTAATGACTATCAGATGTATGACATTTAAATATAAGAGTAGACATTGGACATTCTGTGAATGTGATATGATTGAGTAGATATCTACTTCTCTTCAGTCCCCTGAACTCAGGAGGGAAAAATTTGATCAGATTTGCCTACAGTTCTGCCTTACTGCTTTAAATTGAAGCTAATGGAGTAATTTAAGACACGCTTCATTTAGTTTCTTTAAATGAAGGGCTGGTTTCATTGACTGAGTTTCCTTCAAGTGAAAATGTTATATGAGATTAAAAGTGATCAGTTTTCTTTCTACCTTTTCCTTACATTGATAATCTTTGAATCTTACATTATTTCTGTGGTGTCACTATCTCTTCCTCCCTCAGTGCAACTGCTACCCAGTTCTCTCTCCTCAGTCATTTCTCTATCCATATTTTCTGTTTTGGTGATTGTATGTACTCTCAGGCTTCATCTTTGATCTCTTATTTCTATATTAATCATTCCTTAGGCTTTTTCCTAATCCGTCTTGGCTTCCAGCTAGATAATTTCTCTCTGACTTCCTCTATTAATGACTTAACCTAATACATGTGAGACAGTCCAATTTATTTCTTTATTCAACCAGTTCTTTCCCCTGTGTCCCTGTTTTTGCTGATACCCACCTTATTAGTTATCCAAACACAAAACTTGGTGCTACTTAGAATCCTCAATCAGTTCTTTTACATCAGTTTCTCTCTCATCTTTTTTTCTTCTTACTGCTACTATTGTCCTCTAACTGAACCATTTGCCTCCACTGTGCATCCTCTTACCTAAGCACGGTCTTACTCATAGCCTTCAGTGTTCTAGTTCAAGGTATCCAAGCTTTCCTATCTGGCTAGCATATGACCCACTTGAAGATGAAACTATAACTTCCAGCTGCTCAAGTGTGGCCCTCCAGCTTGGGCCAGCAAGTCAATTATTTACTACTTTTCATAATGAGATATGTATAGAAACTGATATTTTGGAAGTGCATAGTGATTAGATATTGCAATAATAGTTAAGTGCTCTATTAGACTCATTGTCAGGGAGTTGACTAGGTGTTGTCAGAGTTGTACAGCAAGTTGCATGTGGTCTGAACTGTGTACTGGTCTTATGCAGCAGGGCTGTACAACTGTCTGTGATGAACTAGAAGTTCAAAAAGTAGAGCACTATTCTTAATTAACCCTAGTGCTCCCAGTGTTTTCACTTTGATACATTCTTGGTAAATACTGCTGAATGATAGACCTTTCTTACCATGTTACCACTGTTCCCACGTACCCTGCACTCAGGCAAGACACACCCCATTTTCTTGTCTTCAATTCAGACACTACTCTCCTGCTTCCTATGAATTGCTTTTCTTCTCCTCTACCTTTGGAATTGAAATGCTTCCTTTTCCATAACACCCTTGCTACCGTGCTCTGTGTTTCATACATTGTTATGGTATTTATCAGTACTTGTAATTGTTATTGTGGATACTATAAACTATAACTGATTCTCCTTAGCAGATTATGAAATCCTCTGCGAGCCATCTCATCTGAGTCATCCCTTGTTGTTGCCATAAAGCCATAGGTGTCACCATTGTTAACACTACCAAAGCCCTTTACAGTTACAGAGTACTAGCACATACCCATTTCGTTTTTTAAATTATTTTGCAGAATAACAAAGGTGTTTCTCATTTCAAAGATTGGAAATAGGCTCAGAGATGTTAGATGACTTGGTCAAGGCCCTCTATAATGATTAGCAGGCAGCTGAGACTAGAACATAGCACCTGAGAATTGCCTTCTGTACAGAAGGACCTTCTCAATGAATATTTGTGCAGTAAATAATACACTATGTTAATGGAGGATATTTTTGGAAGGAAATTATAACCATATTTTGCCTCTTTAAAAACTTACCCTAATTCATTATCAGAGGTAGCAATTTAAGCTAAATAATGGGAATGTTAACTTTCTTTTCCTTCATCATAGACTTTTCTATTGTCTCCTCATTAAATAAGCGAATTTTATAAGCAATATTTTAGTGGTAATACGATGACACTATGTGTGGGGGCTATTTCAAATGAAGGTGTAATGCCAGTATGAAAATTAGTTGAAATAGAATTCATGGGAAAATTTTTAATTTTTACAGTCTTCAAAAGTGAGATCTGTTTATCCTTTTTATTCGGTATTACACATTCTAGTAATCTAGTGAACATTTAGAAATAAACACATTTCTGGGCAGAGCCGATTTTTAAATCCTACAATCCAGGACAAAAAAAGAGAAGGATCCAAAAACATCATCTTGGGGACATTTGAAGAGGACATATGCTATGCTTGCTTCTTGATGAATTGTATTTCTCTGCTGTCACTCATCCTTGTGCTACTATGGGTTTATAATTTTGCTATTAATAATTCACTTACATAATTTTATTTTGTTAATGAGCAGAAATTGAGTACATACATTGTACCTTTGGCTTTTTCCTTAACTCCGTCCTTAACATCAGTGCTTTTCAAGTCAAGTACATAATCTCAGCACTTAACATGCTTATAATGAGAAGTACAGGGTTTTTGTTATTGTTTATTTTTAAAGAAGTTTGGCAAAATCTACCAAGCTAGGATTTGAGATTTTTCACCTATTTTCTTCCTTTTGAAGCTAAATTTATCTTTGTTTTATTTTGTTTCCTAATTTCCATTACTACTTGTCTTGTGGGAGCACATTCGCAGCAAAATCAGTCTGTTAACTAAGTTTCATGGCTACAGATTCTGCCAGTTTTTCCTGACGCTTTGCCCATCCTAGAACTGTTCATCTCTATTGTTCTTCATTTTATGATTTCTCAGTCAATCCCAATTTAAATTTCAGAATTTCTGCACTTTGCTCTTTATTTAATAATATTCAAGGCCTGTTCTGAGCAAATGAGAACCCCTGTATTCCAAGCTCTGATGCTGTCATTCATTATGCAATTTGCATTAATTTTTTTTTTCCACAGTCACCCCTTAATTCTGTCTGTCCACTCATCCTTTCTCCTTCCTTGAATATTCATTATAGTTGTAATGTGCTTAATATGTTCTGGGTTTTATTTCCTATGTTTTTTTCATTATGGTATCAGTACTTTCATAACCTAGTTCTATGAAAATAAGTGCATATTCTCCTCAGCAAATGAATCAGTGTAGAATCACTATGCTTGCTCCTCTCCCAGCCTTAGTGAGTTAAATTGTGTTTTTTAATAGATCATGAAAGCTAAGAACTCTTGGAATTGTAGCTAAAAATAAGCTGAGAATCTGACCATTTAAGCAAGGCCAGATGCTAAGATTAAAGAAGTCATGAAAAACTAACTCAGTAAGACTTTCTCATTATCCTATCAGGTTAGGCTATTGCCATTTGTTTATAGCATTACAGTTAATTGTTGTCTTTATTTGTGTCCTTTTCCTCAAGACTGAATATAATTAGGAAACTTATAGCAGATGAAGTGGAGTTTCTGCAGCATGTCACCCAGCTTGATCTTCGAGACAATAAACTTGGTGATCTAGATGCTATGATTTTCAACAACCTTGAAGTTCTACACTGTGAAAGAAATCAATTGGTGACATTAAGCATTTGTGGCTATTTCTTAAAAGCACTCTATGCCTCTTCTAATGGTATGTAATGTAGATATAACATTACATCAAAGCTGTTTTTTTTTTCAGTTTTTAGAATTTACTGCTTCACTGATTTTTCCCCCTTAATTAATGAAATAAATATCACAATTTTCCAAGATAAAAGTCATAAAGAAGAATGCTGGTTTAATATTTAAGCAAATCAAAAAAGATTTTATTGTTTCTAACTTTTTTTTTATGTTTAGCTAAATTACTCCCACTATTGATTTGTTTCATCTGCTTCAAGTGAAAGGGAGAAATTAACTGTTTCTTGGATTTCCTAGGTGAGATAGTTGTTAGGAGTGCAAGGAAAACACATTGTGGACTCCACCCAGAACTTGCACTTGGAGGTTCCATTAACAAATATAAGGAACAAGAGTCTGAATCATGATAAAGTCTCTTTCTTAGAATTTGAAAATCATAGCTGTCTTGAAAAAGAAAAGATCGTACAGAGATGCATGGCAAACTTACAGAATTTTCAGTGATACAAACAACTGCTATGGCACACGTGCTGTGGTTATACCACCACTGCTCTAGAGAGTGCTATTTCAGTAGAATGAGGAAGGCAAAAGCAAGATTCATATGGGTTTTTGAAATGAACTCTGAGTGTTAAAAATATAATATTCATTTCGTAATCTTGCAAATGTAGTTTGACATACATAACTGAAAGAGAAGATAGGAAAGACTTGTTTCACTCATTTATAAAATCTTTTTATTAAATTAGAAGTTCCCTTTTTTCCTATAGTTTTCAAGTTTACAAGTATATTGTATTTCCTAAACAAACAACAGAGAATTATATGTTAGAAGTTCCTTATGTGTTCCTATAGTTTACAAATTTACAAGTATATTGTACTTTTTAAACAAACAATGTGGGATACTGCACAACATTTATTCTTCATAAAAAATGGGTCTCTGTGTGTCATTTGAACAGAAATAGTTTTGCGAATTTTTTTTCTCCTCTAGAACTTGTTCAACTAGATGTTTACCCAGTTCCGAATTATCTGTCCTACATGGATGTTTCAAGGTAAGACGATAAGTCTTAGAATATTCTTGTTTCTACTAGAAAATCTTTTCAATTATTTTGCCTGAACCTATGCATAAGCACTCTTACTAGATTTTGAGGGAAATTTAAATTTAAAAGTCTCATCTTCTAAAACTGTATATAGTACCTGTCTATCAAAAGACCTATTTAAGTTATGGTTCATACAAGCAGAATCTAGATGTCATTTTATGAACCAATTAGAGCACCAGATTTGAGCCTGAAAGATTAGTGAATTGAGAGTTCTGACTTGGAAGTCCTTTAGCTGTTATCTAAATTGTGATTACTCTTTAATCACAACTGCAGTGTGATTTAACATGTATGTAATTTTGCCTTTGTCTATGAAAGTTGATAAACTTAGCTGTTTTAATAAGATAATCATAGGTAAATATGTCAGTATTTAGCAATTGAAAATTATTGTTATAATTTTATTAGAAATCTCTATAAAATTCTTTGAGTAGTACTTCCTTTGTTTCCCACTAAATACATATCAAGCAATGTTATTTAATTAACTTAAAGCTAGACATTACCTGGCCAAGTCACACTTCCCCAAAAAAAACTCTTTGTCATTTTCACCTTTTAAATAAGAACAGTACAAGAGTAGGGTTTGTAAATATAGAATCTTACAAATATCTTGAATAGATTTATTTCACCTAGTTGGCCTTAGACTGAATCTGCTTTTTATTTGTAGAATGTAATTGGCATTAGAGTGCCAATTGAAATCCCTAAGTCAGAGTGAATTAGAAATGCCTGTGTCATGTTTGTCCCTGCCGATTATATGTTACTCAAATTCCTTTTGTAACGCTGATACCCAGATCTTCACTAGAATGTGCTCTGCCTCATCCAACCTGCCATCTATGATAGGCTTTACTAGGTTCTTAGTTCTTAGAACAAAGTTATAATCAGTTTATCATTTATAGCTTATCATGTAATTTCTGTATGTTGAGTTTGTCTTTACAAAGGATTAATTTCACTCTCACTAAGATATTTTATGGATTGGCTGCTATAAAAATAATTTTGTCAGTCTTGAGGCCTTCAAAATCAGAACAGTGTGTGTAATAAAACAGTAAGTAGAAAATGTCTTTTAGTTCTATATTTCAGTTTTAAAAAATGGTAGCCAATATCTTAGTTTGTTTTCATTGTTGAGACAAAATACCTGATACCCAAAGTGAAGCAAGGGAAGAAGGTTTTTTTCTTACAGTTTTGGGGCTTCAGTCCACCCTCAGCTGGCTCCGAGGCAGGATTGACATGGTGGGGCAGCTATTCATGGCCAATGCAAACAGCAAGCATGAACAAATCAAAAAAAGAGGAAAGACATGTCTTCTTCCCATCCTTACACTGTTTGCTGGCTCCTCCCCTGGTGGGTGGAGCACTCACATCGCCAATCCCAGCACTAGACAACAAACCAGCCATAAACACTAGATTCAACCGCATCCATCCTTGCTTGAGACTTGAGGGAGCCATCGAACACAAACCATAACACCAAGTCATAAAACATGATTTTAAAATCATGCCTAATTTCAGCACCCTAATGTCACATCTCTTTTCCTTTTTGTTGTAATATAATATAGTTCTTGTCTCAAGTGTCATATAAAGAATTATAGCCAAGGAAGCAGTATAGGTCAGTGTTAGAGAGCATCTATCTATCATGCATGGGGAGGTAAGTTTAATGACAAGGAAAGAAGGAAAGGGAAGGGAAATGGAAGGGAAGGCAAGGGAAGGGAGAGTGAAAATACACATAACATTTTAGGTTCTTTGTACCTTGTTACTTGGCATTTTAACTTAATTATTTTTTATTTTAAAGAGTAAAACAAAACATAACAGAAAAAAGCAGATCAGAACAATGCAAGTGTCACAGGATTTCAAAACAGGACAACAGGAGATCAACAATGGCTATTATAATGTCTCTTATTTTCTTCAAAATAGTTGTCCATATCTTCATACAATGAATTCAAACGAAACAAAATAGTATAAAACTGATCAAAACAGAATCAAAAGAATGAAAGCATTACAGGCCTTCAAAATTAAACAACAGGAAAATCAATAATGGCTACCGTAATATCACTTGTTCTCTTCAAAATAGCTCCATACCTTCAAATATATTGAAATTAAATAATACAAAACAGACTAAAACCAATCTAAACAAAGAATAAAAACATTACTGGATTTTACAACATGATGATCGGAAATCAGCAATGGCTGTAATAATGTCTCTTTTCTTCAAAGTAGCTGTTCATATCATCACTCATAATACAATCAATTCTTGTGAACTCTTTAGAAATTCTAGGCATGAATAAGCTTCTACATGTACATCTATCCTTTCTGTATTAGGAAAAACAAAAGAAAGCAAAACAAATTACTAGAAAAACAAGAAACAAAAAAGACAAATAACAATAAAGAGCCCAAAACAATACAGGCTTTCAAAAAAAGGTGGTAGGAATGTGATTAAGATGGTTATTATTTTGCATAGTAATCATCAGAAAACTTCCTCATATGACCAGATATAAACATAAAATTGATCTAATCCTATAATGTTAACAGTTTTGTTCCAAGAACTAATAGGATTTATGCACAACCATCTTAGCTATCTTAAGTGTGCATACAAATTTATATCTTTTTTTTCTTGAAAATATTTTAATGTTTAGGGTAAAAATATAAATTTAATGATAAAGCTATTTTATGCCATTTGACTGTTTGACTTACCTGGAAGTGTACGTGTATTTTTCCTGAATATAAAACATGCTTTCCCTAAACTTGCCTTAGGGAAAGTAATGTGGGAACTATAGAATTTATTATTTTCTGACTTTGCAGGTGACGCAGATGGTATAACTGTTCTTAGTTCTTATTTTCTTCTTCCTATGACAAGTCATTGTGCTTCTAGTGAAGCAAAGGCAAAGTAATGCACATATCCTTTTGACTTATATCATTATTTTTGGTATTCTATTTAAAATTTCATTCTTTTTTCTGTAATTGTGTTGCGTTTAGAACCACATTTGAGGCAAAATTCAAATCTAAAAATAATAATTTTGTGTTTTTATATTTAGGAACCGCTTAGAAAATGTGCCTGAGTGGGTATTTGAAAGCCGAAAGCTAGAAGTTTTGGATATTGGCCACAATCAAATATGCGACCTTCCAGCCCGGTGAGTATTGCATATCAGATGAGAGAATCTCAATTGATGAGTAATAAATAAAATTACTGAGTTAGTATTTAATTTATTATATTATGTGAAACCACTAAACTACAAGTTTGTTTTAAACTTTATTTGATGTCTTTTACCCCATGTGTCTTCAGGAGAGTGGTGTCAGGCTTTGACTCTCAGGTGTAAGTTTCAGAATAGCCAGGTGATGGTGTTTAGTGGAAATTTTTAAATAAACCAAATGTTCAAAAACTGGGTCCGATTTATTTCTGAGATTTTCTTTCAGAATCTTCTATTTCTGTCTGCTACTTTAACATGTTTACCTTACCTATAAATAAAATTTATTTTCCTTAGAATACAACTTATTTTAATATAGGGTGGGGAATATCATTAGATCATTGGATTTTTTTCTTTCTCCTTGGTGAAATTTGGACTAGAAGATCCAAGAACTTCTCTTTCTGTCTTTTACCATTTGTTAATATTTTATTTTATAATTTTCACTTTACTAACAGGATTTTCAAAATAGCGCTGTGATGATTTCTAGTATCCATAAAGTCAAACATTTTCAAATCCACTGTAGTACAAAATATTATTGGACTGTTACCAACCAAAAAGTAGTATAGTTCCAGGATTGTCTTGTAGCACTTTCTGTGGTGACTGAAATGCTCATCTCTGTGTTATCCAGTAAGGTGTCCAGTGGGCACATGTGGCTCCCGTGATACATGCGTGTTGTGACAAAGGAACTGAATTTTTAATTTATCTCATTTTAGTTCATTTAAATTTACATTTCACTTGTGCTAATATCTAGTATAATTCAGCATTGGCTATTTCAGACATTTTAAGTTAGCCTCAGAAGAGAGGAAGTCAGGTTTTTTTTTGTTTATTTTTTTGTTCTTGTCTTTATTTTAGCCTGTGTATATAGTCAAAATATCTATGAAGCCATGGTAGAATAATGTCATTTTGGAGTAACTTACTTTAAGTAAACTTTCACTTTAGTTTTATATGGTCCTTAAAGGTATGTGATTAACTTAAATGGCAAGGTTTATGAAATATATATGCTCGATGAGCCTGCTAAGTGTGTTAACAGTTGAGCTGTCTGATATGCTAGTTACTCTCTAAGCTAAGTGGCTATTGAGCACCTGAAATGTAACTAATTTCTAATTGAGAAATAGTATAACCATGAAATATACACCACATACAAAAATAAAATTATATGTTGATTACACTATAAAACATTACTTTTGATACAGTGGGTCAAAAAACTATAAGAATCCTTTTCCCCCATACTGAGAATTGAACCAAGGGTCCTAATCATTGAGCTACTTCTTCATACCTTTTTGAAAATTAGAGCCTAATACTGGATTTCAAAACTAAGACAGTAGGGAATCTACCATAGTTACTCTATTGCATATTGTTGTCCTCTAACTACTTGCTCAGAACACTGGCTTTAGGGCTGCTTTTAGGTTGTTCTTTACTTCAGTTGCCATCATATCTGTCTTCATTTGTCTGAATCAGCCAGTTGATTACAAGGGGTGGGGGATGTCCCTGCCCACTCTAGCCTGTGTGTTGTGGGGGTGTGGGACTTCCATCCTAGTTCTGCCTCTGCCTGTGGGGCCTCTGCTAGCTCACCAGGGGAAGGTGGAGATGTTTTTCCATTTTGAAACAGGGTCTGCTAAGTGTCCCAGGCTGGAGTCAAACTTGAGGCCCTCCTACCTCAGTCTCCCAAATAACTAGATTTATAGGTGTATACTCCTGTATCTATCAATCTTTACTTTTTTAAAATACAGCTACTAGAGAATTTAAAATTGCATACAGTTTTCATTATGTTTTTCTTGGTGTCATTATTACCTTCTTTTTTGTTTTGTTTTGTTTTGTTTTGTTTTTGGTACCAGAGATTGAACTCACAACCTCGTACTTGCCAGGCAGGCTTTATGCCGCTGAGATAAATCCCCAGCCCTATAGTTACTTTCTTGTTACTGGGACAAAATGCCCACCACATACAAGTTAGAGGAGGAAAGGTTTATTTCAGCTTACAGTTTGTAGAGGTTTCAGTCCATAGTCACCTAGCTCCAAGGCAGGGCAGCATGGCAGGGAGAAACAGACCGTGGGTTGGCAGGCAGGAAGCAGTGAAATAGCAAGACTTCTTTTTTATTCCCTTTTCATTTCATCCAGGCTACAAGCCAGTTAGTTGGTGTCACCCACACCAAGGGTGGATCTTGCTTCTTTCAGTGACTTCATTGTCTACACTGAGAACTACACTAAACTATTTAGTGGACTAGTCCAATAGCACACAACCATGATCCAGTTACCTTCCAAAAGTCCCACTTCTGAGTGCATGCAGCTCTGGGGGACATCTCTATATAAGCCATCTTGGAGAACAGTTTTAGAGAATAGCTTTCAAAAGAAATCTAATACACATTTTTCAATGCCTGAAAAGCTCAGTTAATTTATCTTTCCTTGCTATCTATTATAACTGTAACTTTGATTCACTTCAAAATGCTTTATGCTGTGGGGTTTTTCTGGGGTTTTTTATTAGTATATATTAGTTATACAGAATAGTGGACTTTATTCTGGATATTGTACATGCATGTCACATGCTTTGATCTTCTCCATGTCCTAGAATCTTACATTGGCTGAACATTTAGGTGACACTGTGAAGCTCATCATTATGGCCGGGGGAGAGACAGGAGTATCTATGCCCTACTTGTAAACTGGCTTTTTTTGAGTCCATGTCTTTAGGGGTTCTAAACAAGCACTTTCAAATGCTCTACTGTCACAGAATTTAAAGAAGGGTGTGTATGTGTTTTAACATGAAATAAGAACAGTATGTATTTTATGTATAGCTGTAAACTTTGAGCCTTATTGATAATGTAATATTCAGGCAAAATGGTGATTCATTTTAATCCATTTAATATTTAAACTGTGGATAAGGCATATGAAGGACTTAAAAAAACAAATTATGTAGAAATGGAAATATATTACCTGATAAGCGTGACTCCTGAGTTTGATTCTTGGTAACCTCCCCCGCAAAAAGAAATGGAAATGTATTAAAGGGGAAAAAATTAATGATTAGACAGTATCTAAAATAACTGTACTTAATCTTGATAATCAGCATTTAATTCTCATCTTGTAGTTGATTAAGCCTACTTTTTTATTTGAAAAAATCAGGATAAGGATTTTTTTCACCCTGTCTTTCAGTAATCCATGTATTAAGGATAAAGAATATATAAAAAGTAAATTAACCAAATACTGAATTACTGGGTTTGAGTAACTGTTACAGAGACTGTTCCATGTCACTTTTGATTATTCACCTGCCCTGGATAATCTGTCCTGTTACACTGATTGGTAAATCTTAAAAACCAGATTCTCATTGATGGTAGTTGGTGATTTCAGAGCAGGGATTGAGATGAGTTGCTAAGCATCCTTTGGAGGAAAGAGTATACTTTTGATATTTAAAGTGTAGTTATGCCCTTAATGTATGTGACTTTTAACAGTTGTGAATCAAAGGATATAAAATTGTTTAAAGTAGGTTTTAAATGTTCTCACCACAAAAGAACAATAGGTACTTAAGGTAATACACGTTAGTTCACTTGATTTAGCCATTCTATATGATGTACATATTTCAAAATACGTTGAACATCATATATATGTACACATGTATACTTCTATATTTACATGTGTGAGGATATATATAGATGTGGTGTGTAAATGTAAATTTTCTTGCCAAGTAAAAATAAATCAATTAAAAAACAATCATGAACATGAGCGAAGCCAGAGTGGTAGAAAACAGGAGGTGAATGAGGAAGCCTCCATTCTTTGACAGCAGTGTACACCAAAGTCTTTATAGCACAGATTACAATCTCACTTCTTTTACATCCCTTGAAGTCTGTCTCTAGCCCTGTTTTTTCCCTACAGCTATTGGAAAAGCATAATGCAGTTTATATTAGATTAATATAACATCATTTGTTCCTGTTCTTAATGATAACTTACAAGAAATACAGCCAAACTTTCAAACAGCTCTTTGTGCTTCACAAGAAAATAGTGGGTTAAATGCATTCTATTCTCTCCAAGGAAGTCCCTGCTTTGGTGTAGAATTAAACGAAAGAAATAAAAATACACAGGGAGCAAGGAAGGAAAAGAAAAGACAATTATCATTGTAAAATACAATTGAAAAAATGTAAATTTTCTTAGTTACATTTGCAAAAGTTTAATTGGATAGAAGAACATTCTATGTTGACCTTTGTATATAGAGATTGCTCAGCTGTATTTATTCCAGATCTATTATAAATAAAACATTCAGTGTTATAGGGCCTACGTAAGACAGAAGCTCAACTCTGGAGAACCACGCAGTCTTACGAAGTTTACTGTGTCAGTCTAACAAGGATAGACTGTGTTCTTTAGTGTTTGTGTCTGTGGAACTTGTTTTTCACTAAGTAAAGCTTCTTTACTTATTTTTACTGCCTCTTTTTTTAAGGTATGGAAAGTATTGAGAGGCTGGGGATTTAGCTCAGCGGCATAAGCGCCTGCCTTGCAAGCAGGCAGTCCTGAGTTCGATCCCTGGTACTGATAAAAACGAAAAAAGACAAAAAAAAGAGAAAGCATTGAAATACAAGTTCAAGTGTAATTGAAATGAAGCATTTATTGCTCTGAATGAATGTATGATTTTTAAAAAGATAATTTTAAGTATTTTGCCTTTACTCATTTTCTAATCTGTATCACACATTAGTTCTAAATAAGTTGCCTACTGTTTTTTGTCCATTTTTTTTAACAGCTTATTTTGTAATAGTAGTCTCCGTAAACTGCTAGCAGGTCACAACCAATTAGCACGGCTGCCTGAAAGGCTGGAAAGAACTTCAGTGGAGGTCTTGGATGTGCAGCACAACCAGCTCGTTGAGCTACCACCTAACCTTCTCCTGAAGGCTGACAGGTAAAGCAGCTTTTCTGTGTTGTATATTCTTCTGAGTGTGTTCAGTGCCCTTTGCTATTGTTCTTTTCTTCTGTGATTTGATACTATTTGTGGGAATTTTCTGATTATTTGTCTATCTTAGATTTATGAAGAGGATGCTTTTGCCAGTCACTTCTCTGAGCATTGTGTAGGGGATAGAGCCAGGGGTGTCTTTGCTGCTTTGCGAGGAGAGGCATAGATTTTTTTTTGTGAGTAGAAGTGTGTTGTAGGGAATATAGGTGTAAAACAAGACTGTGACATCTACCTCCTGTATTGTTACTGGTCAAAACTTGTTCAGGCTGCTCTAGGTTTTAGCTTATTTTATAATTTGCTGTTCTTCCTTTCCTGTACTTCTGACTTTTGTGACAGAGTTAGATTTCCTTGGACTTTGTTTAGTTTTTTTTTTTTTAATCAGTCCTGCTTTATTACAATTTACCCTTGTACTTAGTATAGGAAATGAAATTCTATTTTCCATGAACAGATACCACATACAAAACTTGCTTTATAGAGAGCTTTAAGTGTTAGTGGCTCTTAATATACTTTGAAACATTTGTTTGCTTTAGACTACTAAAGTATTTCATAGGCTGGTGGCCTCAATCAGTTTGAAGTCTGCTAGTATTTTTTAGAAAATAACCATTACTTTAGAGGCATTAGGAAGGTACTTTAGTGTACCTCATAATGAAATTTTTTTTGAATAGTTAGATTTAATTTTATGCTTTATAACCAGAGAGAAAGAAATGAATATTTTTACCTTAAAATTTTTTGATCTGTTTCAGCATGCGTGATATTATGAGTGAAATAAAAATCTAAGAACTCTGACTTTTCCAAGATGAATTAATTTACCACCCTATCCTCCTAAATTCCTATGCTTACTTCTGTCATAATACTTATCACATGCTATATTATAATTTCTTATTCACTAATCTCTCTCTGCAACTAGAGTATTAACTCAGTGAAGCCAGTGATTACGTCTTACGTTGTTTATTTTCACTTTTTGTTTTTTAGTGTTTGTTTGTTTGTTTTCACTGTATCTATAAAGCAGGAATGTGCTCAACAAATATTTAGTTAATGAATGATAAAAAATTTGACTAATTATAAATTACCATAAGTCTTGACTCACATTTTTGCTTCTTGTTCCTTTTTAAAAGTATCATCAAGATATAATTTATACTAGTAAAATGTACAACTCTTGAGTATATGGCTTTATGAAGTTTTACATATATATCTGTATGTTTACATTTATCTGTCTCACCTCTCTCTGTAACCATTACCTCAATCAAGATATAGAACATTTCTAGCACGCCCTTCTTTTTCATTTTGTTGTTTTACTCATGAAAATAAAAAATCTGTAGTGTGCTCATGTAAGTTATAATGAATTTGTATTAGAATAATTATAAAAGAAAATAAAATTGTTAATAAGTAATTGTTGTATTATAATTGACCAGTACTGTATCATTCTCTTGACTAAAAGGACAGTGTTTCAAGATCATTTAAAAAATAATTTTTGTTTTTACATCCGTAACACAGTATAATGTACAGCTGGTGGTAAGCTCTAGATATGCCTTATTGTTATAAATACTATAGAGTTTGATTTCTTCTCCTGCATAGAATTTTATGTCATATTGTAGCCTCGTGGGTTTTTTTTTTAAATTACACTATTGAGGCAAAGTTTGGATGCCATTTTATAGTAAGAATCTGCTTGTCTCCCTACTGTTCTATACTGAATTTATAGAACCAACTAAATAGATTCATGTTTTAGGAATCCTTGAGTGAGATAAAACCATTTCTGAATCTGGCCAAATCTGTAAGTTCATGACTAATAGGTGATTGGTGCTGGAAACTGCAGCAGATAATAATCATTTTTTATTCATTACTACAGACTTGGTTTTAGAACAATGATTCTACTTTTTCTTCTCTAGAGGGAATTGGTAAGCAGTCGTTAGGTGTGCTTGTGCCAGGGAAGACATGAAAAGTTTGCTGGAGGAGTCCACCAGTTTAAGTTGAGGAGAGTTTATTTTCACTTACAGACATGCTTGGACAAGGATTTGGGCAAGGGCAACTGTAGGTTGGTCTATAGGAATTTTGACAACACCTAGGAATAAAAAATGCTTGCTGCCATCATTTCTGGTTTTGCGACCATGTGCAAGTCATTCCAAGTCCTAGTTTTCTCATCTAACATGTTTATTATTCCCAAGTGGAACCTGTACTTTGGAAAAGGCAGGGTTTAAGTGTAACATGGGCAAATTAGAATATAAAATTAACCACTCAGAAGATACTGGTGTCAGGGACCATATAAGCTAAACCAGTAGTGTCAGCAAAAGACATTTAGGCAGGAATCCCTGTAGTCCAACTTAACTGGCTTACTTAGACTAGTGCATTTTGAAACATAAACACTAGTATGAAAGGAAATTGGCCAGTGTCTGAGAGGGAGGCAGAGCATGCTAAATGCATTGCCTGTATACCCAAACTCTAGAGTAAAGGCTTAGGTGAATTAAAAGGAGGAGTTCTAGTTTATAACAGAAAACCAAATGATTAAGAAGTCAGAAATAAGAAGCTTTTCCAAGAAGGGGTGTTCTAGAACCTTTGCTTTCCAGTCACTCACTGTAGGAGCTACGTCTCTAGAATAGTAGCTACTACTCTAGGAGTAGTTATGCCTCTGAGTCGGAAGGGGATTTAAGAGTTGGTTTTCTTAGACCATAGGGTAATAAAGGCAGGAGCCAAAGTTGCTTAGCTCTTTTTTAAACTTCATTTTTTTAATTAGTTCACATGTTAGAAAGTATGAAAAAAGGCATTTTCTAGTGATTTCTATTAAATTGGTCATTCTTAGAGGGTAGATACTTCTTTTACCCTTTGTACTTCTCAATAAAATGAAGGTTTTATCTACCTGATATTTTACAAATTTTGTGATGCAGTTTTAACTTAGGCATAATTTACATTCAGGAAAATGTTTAGATTTTGTACATGTGGTTTGATGAGTTGAGTTTTGGGGGAAGGAATATGCTAGCACTAACAGTTATCAAAGCAGGTCAGCCCAGGAAGCATGACATATAAAGCACTTTTTAGTAAAGTCTTTGTGACAGGCTTCTTGCCAAGGGTAGTTTTAGATGTGATTTGTTTTAATTTGTGCTTCAGCACAGCTAGTATTCTTACTGGCCTAATATTGTGCTGAATTCAGTCTTACATTGAGAAAATGAGTAACTATATGTATTCTCCTCAAAAACTTACACTCTAATGCGGAATTTAAAGTGACTACACAATAATAAAAGATAGGCTTATAAAAGATGGGAAATGAAAAGAATGGTGTAGCATAGTTCAGGCTCATGGTGTAAGGAAGAGTACTTCATTTTATGACGCAACAAATTTGCTGTTTGCGTTTGACAAGTAGCATCAATGCATTAATGAAACTTGGCTTTAATACTCTTGCTGTTCATTTTGCTCCATAATATAAAATTTAAATCCCCAGCATTCGGTGTGGCTAAGGCAGAAGGATCACAAGTTTGAGTCCAGCCTGGGCAATTAACAATTTAGTGAGATCCTGTCTCACTTAAAAAAAAAAAAAAGCTGAGGATAGCTCAGTGCAAAGGGCCTATGTGTGCACTGGGAGAAAAGCAGTGGTTGTCCTTTTTTCATAATTTTTCCATAACATCGTTACCAGTTTGTGTTGGATCACGTGAAAGGAAAGGGGCCTGAGTGTATGCCTTCAGTATTAAATGGCTTGGGTCATGCTTGAAGTAGAACTTGTTCTCAAAAGCCTCAGGAAAAGTCTGAAAACCACACATTATTGGATAAAGAGTAGAAGACCAAATTTTTACGCTTCCTTAGGAGTTTTTGTTTGCTTTGATTGTTGTGTGCTAAGTTCAGTCTTACGGGTTTAATTACATGTTATTGTCTGTTAAACAGAATAATGTATATTAATCTGCTACTGCCTGTATTAGGAAGATACTTGGTAACCAAATAAGAGAAGTAACTACTTAAAATTGGATGATTTTTGGTCATCTGTATCTTCCTCTGAAAACTGTCGACCCACTTTACTAAAATTCATATGATTTGAATCAACAGTTTCAGTAATTTATTTTCTACATTTATCTTTGAGTATTATTTTGACTTGTTTTTTAGAAGTTGGCAGCTCTTTGTGTGTACACTGTAAATTTATCGACTCCTTAAATATGTACAATTATCTATGTACCTGTCTATCTGTCTGTCTTTGCAGTAGTGGGAATCAAACCCAGTAGAACTGTACTACTGAGCTACATTGCTGGCTCTTTTAAAAAACTTGAGATGGGCTCTCACTGTAGAGCTCAAGCTGGGGTTGAACTTGTGATTTTCCTGCTTCAGCTTCCCTTAGTACTTGAATTTCAACCATGCACCACCATGCCCAGCTATGTGACAAATCCATTTTTTAAAATAATAATGACCTCGCAGCTCAAAAGCAAAACACGTATGAAATATGATGAACCATATATTGTAAGAAGTTGATTAATTTTTTATCTTATCAAGGTAGGATTTGATTCTGTTGGATGAATTGGCAGATATTCTAACCTGGCTTTTACTGGCCTGAATTTTGCAGTTCCCCTCTTTTTTTTCTTTGAGTTGAGAATTTTCATGATGGAAATCCCAAAAGAGTTTGAGATAATTGGTTGTCATCAGCAGATGGGTAGGGGAGGGAATAGGTAATTCCCCATGGGTCACTGAGGGATGAGTCACTGCCAGACGTACTGTTATCCTTCTGTTCTTTCTGAAACTTGGCAGTGACTGACTCCCTGTCCACCTAGCATCTGTACATGCATTTGATAGCCAGACAGCTTCTCCCAGTGGAAATCATTCTGACTAACAAATCCCAAATGGACATTTTTAAAGGAGAGTTATTGATCTCTGTTGTAGGTGGGCATCCAGGTTTTTGGGCCCTGACTGGATCCCCAACCAGAGTAATTTCAGGAGCAGGAGTAGTGGCAGTAAATATGCAAATGAAGGTCATGTTAATT